GAATGAAAACAAATTGTATGCTTCAACTAGTTGACATTGGAAAGCGACTCGAGGCGTAAGTAGCTTTCTTATGAGCTTTTGTTGTTATTTGTTGCTTAATTCGGCCAGTTTGTAAATATATACACTTTATGAATCTTTTGTAAATTTATATACACATATTTGGCTTGCATTCAGTTTGATTTCGACTTAAATGTATGGTTTTTTGTACTGTTACTTGATTATTTTTTCCTTTTGACATCAGAGAAAAAAAAGGGGGAAAAAAAACATTTAAAAAAAACCTTAAAAACAAAAAACCGGATTTTTAGTTGGTAACTTTTTATTTTGTATTTGTATTTGTATTTTTTTTTTTTTGTTTTCTTTTAACACGGAGCTTATAAACGAACGTACACGGTATGATAAAACGGTTTTATAGCGTTGATAACTACGCGTAGATTTTTGTTTTGCCTCTACCTCACTTCTCTCTCTCACGCTCACTCTCTCTCTTTCTCTCTCTCCCTGTCTCTTTCATATCCATATGAATTTGTCTATTTGACAATAACCTTTGGCACTTTCCAAATTGTTCACGTATTTCTGCCATATACACACTACTTTTTATAACTTTTATTCTGTTGCGCAGATTTACCCTAAAGGGTATTTAAAATCTGTCTTGATCCATGGGCAACTCGTTTAAATTTATGAATTTTTTTTTTCTCTTTTATTTTTATTTTTATTTCAAATTTTCTTTTTTTTTTTTTTTTTTTTGTACTGCTTTAACTGACACTGCAGTGCGTCATATGATTTCGTTAAATACGATCTCCTGTGTAGAGTATTGTTGCGGTGCTGATAAATTTCCGGTCAAAAAAAAAAAAAAAAAAAAAAACAATACAAAAATTGTTGGTTTGTTTTTAACGATTGTTTTATTTATACGTTTAAATAAAATAAAACAATGCAATTCAACGATTAGCCATTGTATTGGAAAGCATTAAAGGGCAAAAGGGAAAATTTATATAAATTTTTTAAGTATCATTATAACCAAATTCAATTAAATTATTCTGAGAAGACGTACGTACTTACGTGTGCTTATAACCAATACGTATAATGTGAGCTCGGCTTGAAATTACTAGCATAGCAACAAAACTCCGAAATTACTAAATGTTATCACACACAGCACAGTTTCAGATGAATATATAAATAGCTTTAGCTGATGCGGTTGTGCCTATATACAATAACAAATGGCATTTTGTGACCGCGTTTTTAAAATTAAATAATTGCTCGATGATGAAGATTCCACAGATTAAGCGACAATTGTCCGTTCACTTGTAATAACTCCCTCGAATACTTGAAATTGAAAAATCATGTAAGCCAACCCACAAGTAGAGAGAAGTTAATTTTTGTATAAAGTTTAGGGTATTTGCCAGAATAGTTTAGGCCTTTCTCCAAGGCCAAAGGCAAGGGAAAGCCAAGGCACTATCAAAGGCAAATTAAGAGCTAATCACTTTTAGAAATACTTAACCCATTAGAAACCGAGAGATCTGATTTAAATCAGCGTAACGTTAATGTTCATACTTTATAGAGGGAATGGATGGGTATATGATGGCTGGGCGCACACTTACTATGCTGCGTCCACCACCCTATCTCCTTCTCTTTCTTACTTCTTCGCAACACTCAAGGTTACCCCCACGGTTATTGGACACGACCCGTGTGATCGATGATCTTAAAAGCAAAATATCTACAATTTCTTAAAACTCAACCTACTAAAAAGTAGAAGATGATCAGTTCAATGATAATCGTGTTTCGATCCATGATGAGAGCGGCCAACTTCGCTATTCTAGCCAAAGCTTCAATGATGATTTCCTAAGATGGACAGACAGACTGACATAATTAAAGATATGCCACTATTGTGAGTCATGCGGTGAGTGCATACAATGAGACCACCACTTACTTATTACTTACTTGTTGCCAAGGTGTTAAGAGAATACAAGGTGTTAATGAGAGTATAATTTCACTTAATTCGACCAGTATTGCCTGTGGTCACTTCTTAATATAATAAGCATAAATCACTGCTTTTCTCTCTGCGATAAACTTGGTAATTCTGCTATGATTCGTGGAATCTTCTTCAACATCAAAAACTATCCGGAAATGATTGGGCAAAATGAATTGATTTATTAAACGTGAATATAAAGATGCAAATATATAAAAACAAACATTAAGTTGGAAGAGAAATAAAAATGAAAAGTAATGAGATAATATTCAAGCAATAGTCAGTTTCAATCTAATTTCACTTGGACTTTAAACTATCAAGTTTAAGAGGCTTAACTACAAAAATACAGATATATATATTTTCTGATGCAAAACGAATGATTTCCAATATCTCTTCCAAACTAAATAAGGCAGTTGTAAACGATCGGGAATACATTTTTGAATTGAACTTGAATTTTAAATTTATTCCAATAGGTGTACAAATAAGTTGTCTGGTTCGAAATGTTGTTCTTACTTTATAAAATCTACCTGTTGCGCTCATATTTACCGAAATCACAGGTATAGATAGATTTGACACTGATATATCGCTGATATTGTGATGTTAGCTTCAATTGTTTCCAAGCTGTCTTTCAGAGTGTCCTTCAAAGTGTAACGATCTAAATGCAGTTGAATTTATTTGCGCCCCTAATAATAAAAAATTATATTTAACATGATATTCTATCCATTAATTGAAGTAATTGCAGGGTACGCCAAACCTAACTTTGTACGGCCTAACATTCCGTAAGCAAATCAAAAAACAATTTCCCTTTGCTTACTGTGTCACTTTTTTTTTTATGCATAAAAAAAGAAAATATTTTGTAAAATTCAGAAAAATCGTACAATGCATCTATGCAGGTAACGGGCAGAAAAATAAAAGCGAAGATAGTTGCGACGATTAGTATCTTTCTAAAGTCGCTTAAGCTTGACTTCAAATAACGGTTGATAAGTGCGGAAATTGAACTTAACCTCACAAATTTAACAGTCAACTTGAATAACGTTATTGTATATAGTAGGTAGGCATGTCTATCAAGATAATAAGAAAAATTCGTAATATGAAGAAGATCAAGGGACTTATAACAATGAAAGGCAATAAAATAAGTGAGTAAAAAATTGATATTCAATTGTGATTAAATCGTGTATACCCATCACCGTTATGCTAAACCAGCTAAATTTTCATACTCTTTGCTGTTGGGCGGGCGCGGTTGATTTTTCCTTCGTCAGAATGGAAGTGAAAATTTATGTGATCTGTGTGTTGTACTTTATGAGTAATAAGCAAAAAAAAAAAAAAAAAATGGAAAGCAAAAGTGTTCACAGTTTATGTTCTTTAGGCATGTGGGCTTGTTGTGGGCGTGTCCTCTGACCGGGATACTTCTAGATGATATAGTCAATTTCGCGCACGGAAGACTGTTCACCATAGATACTGCATACCTGGCCAGACGGACATGCTTAGGTACATTGCGAATTTGACGCAGGCCAATAATTTATATAGTTTATGGGGTTTTTAAAACTTTCTTCTGCGTGTTATATAGATATTGAAAAAAAAAAAATGAAATTTTGAAACACTCTATGTATTGGATGGGTATGGTCAATTTTTATCCTTCTTGTTGGAATTTTTGTAAATTTATCTGCTCAAGTTTTTGAGTCATCAGCAAAAAAACAACTTTTTATTTTTTCTGGTGATCTCAACCTACCTGGTATTGTAGGCGAGTCGTTCGACCGCTTTCGCCCATTTTCTCTACCAAGCACTTCCAAATGTTTCTGCCAGAGGAATACTTACAACAGACGGTATACAAACGGTCAGCTGGACAGAATTGGATGCTGCTCAAGAGTATATTTACTTTATGGGATCTCTGAAACTTTCTTCTGGACGTTGCCTCCCCCCTCCGTCCAATAAAATTACATCAAACCACTTCTAACAATCATTTTATTTCGCAGGCAAATAATTTAAGTTGAAACCATGCGAAATTCTTTATTCACTTCTCTTTCGAAGAACATATGCAGAGCTAAAAGAAATTGTCTTTGAATAAAATCGCATAGGAAAACTAAGGCCAGAGTTGTAATTTTTGTTAACAAATTGTACTGCGCAAAATGACCGCCATGAACTTTTTGTTTGAAAAAAAATGTCGGCTATCTATGTGCCGCGGTGTACCCACGCATTACATATAAAAATTCTTACTTTTTAAAACTTGTTTTCAATTTCAAAAAAAACCACAAATTCTCTAACTACACAAAATTTTTAAGCATTAAAGCTTCTTTTTGTTGTTGTTACTTTTTCAATATATTTATTATAAGTTAATACGCAGCTGAGCATTACTAACATACAGTATAAGTATATAACCTCGTTCCTCGTTGCGATAGAAAACTGTAAGAAAATGAAAAATATAAAAATAATAAAACTACAAAAAAAAAAAAAAAATTGGAAAAGACAAAAATAGTTATTTGTTTCAAAACTGAAAGTAAATTTCATACATAAGTTTGCTTCTTCTATATATATATATATATATTTTGTTGGTAGTACTTAACTAACACTTAAAAAAAAGTTCCGCTGTGTTGTATATACTCATATATATCCGGCACTTAATTCCTGTCATAACTTCTTCTGTTGATATTTGTCAGTGTGCATTAAATGTTGTGTATTCTGTCGTGTATAATTTTTTTTTTTTTTTTTTTTTTTGCTGTTTTTGTTTTTGTTTTGTTTGCAAAGTTCATTTTTTTTTGAACAAGTTGAGTGAGTCTGCAACGTAGTTTTTCCTTAAAGTTACATTATGTTGTTTAAATGCCGCAACTGCTGCTATTTGTCTTGTCTTAGTAGTGCTTTTGCTGTTAGCTGCTGCTACCCTGCTACTACTGCCTTAGTTACTATGATATATAATATCCGTTATAAACATTAAGTCTTTCTCTTTTTCTTATACATATGTATATATATATATATATACATATATATATGTATGTATTTTACTAAACAGAATCAACAACGCTTTCACTCCTTTTATTTTTTTCAGTTTGAAATGCTAGAAAGTATCAACCAGTAAACACTGCTTGCGTTATATACAAAAAGGAAAACAAATGCAGTAAAAGGAGAGAAACAAAAAAAAAAAAAAAAAAAAAAATAAAAAAAAAAGGCAAAAAACCAAGAACAAAAAATTAAAACTTTTATATAATATGTGGATAAGCGGAGACGAATAGACATACCTACGTATACATTTGTATCTAATTGAATACGTGCCTGACAAAGGATTTCTTCTTACTTTCTTTTAACGTCAACAACATCTTAAATATTGTCAAGAAGTTGATTTATTCTGATGCAACATCATGACGGTAAAATTGGGTAAATTGTTTGGTACCAACTCCTCTAACAATAGCACAACGCATAACAAGATGTCATCACCGCCCCCACTGCCGCCGCCAAATCCTTCACTGTCATGCAATTATTATAATGCCAACACAAATCAACATCATCACCAGTTACAGCAGAAGAGTCAACGAGCCTTTAATCCCTATGTGGATGAAATGGAAGATGATAATATATCTTTATACTCGACAACTGCTTCGATTATAACGGCAAGAGATCATCCGTATAATAATTCGCAACGTCCCTTGTTGGCCGACAGGAAACCGCAATTGCTGTTGGGCAGCAATGCTAGCAATAACAAAAAGAAAACTAAAAATCAAACCACAGCAAATCAACAGTCTTCCCCTAAGCTTAGTCAAAACCACCATCAACAGCAACAGCAACAGCAACAGCAACAACAGCCGCAACAACAACAACAACAGCAACAACAACAGCAACAAGAACAAAAGCAAAAACCAGAACAAAAGTCTTATATATCACCCTATGTACAGCAACAGAAACGTGATAGCGTCAAAGGTTTACATGGTTTCAATGACTTCGATATACTCTCCCAGCAATACAATAAACATTTACAATCACCGCACATTGGCTACCCATATGGTAGTCCACCGTCACCTAATAGCAATTCAACGGCAGTAGACTTTGTCTTCGATTCTGCCGAATCGACAACGACACCGATATACCGAAACAATTATGCGAGCATATCAACACCGTTAACCGTAACAACTTGTTACGGTAATGCTGTTTGTGATTATGGCTCCACATTGGCAACATCGGCTACGATTGAGGTTAATGAAATCGATTATTATAGATCCAATACGAACGTTGATGCAATCAACAAATTATCACGTTTCGAAGATGATTTTTGTAATCGTCGTAATATAAATTTTTCAAAAATTGATAAAAAATTAGCAACGAGCGACGATACGAACTTATATGAAGGACCATTTATATTTGGCATACCCCCCGAACAACAAACCGATTTTACTCGTTTAGGTATAAATGGTCGCAGCTTCGATGATATCACCTCTTGTAAGGCTGTGCTAACAAATAACGGCAAGCAAAAGCTTGACAAATCTATGAAACAAACGGTAACGGTAAGTAAATCAAATACGTTAACTTTGTTTCGAACATAAATAACACTTACCACTTACTTTTAAAATGGCTAGTGACAGCACCTGTTAGGCTTCCAGCCGAAAAGCATTTATATATTTTGGGTAGAAAGTTTGTTTGACATAACGAACTTGACGGAAATATGCTAAGAGCGCAATGCATTTAATATTGAATTCTTTTATTTAAACAAAGGCATGTAGTTAGTGAAAGCAACATTGTTGTTTTTGTTGTTGTTGTTGTTGTTGTTTATTAACATAGCCTAACTATGGACAAACAGATAGTGGATTAACCTTGACGAGGTTGAAATAAATTTTTATTTATTTTTGGATCACAATTGCTTTGCAAGATAAAGTGTTTAAGTTGTAATCACGATTCTAATAACTAACGTACTGGCAAATAGATCTGGCGGAACCTACTCGAGATGCTTATAAACTCCAAGGGATTCTCTAAAGCATGTTAAAATTATGGAGCAGAAAGGTGTTTGTGAAAGCAATAATGAAATCTGCTTAGAGATATTTTCGTTAATGTCCGATTTGCTTTGATGCTGCATGATGAAGATATCATATCATATATAGCATTAGAAGAAAGAGAAGAAGAATCTTCGAAATCAAGCGCTTAATTTTTACAACACTATGAAATCAGAAAAGTTTTTAAATCAGGATTTTTTCCAAGTTTCGTATATGGTGCCTTGCAATAAACGTATCAAGCTTTTCTATGAACACGTATGCGGGATGCAGTAAGGTCCGTTAGTCTATTCGTAAATCTTCTTTCTGTTATCGCATGTTTTTGTTTAAAGCTCAAAACCTCACAAGGATGGGTTAAATCACACTTGGAATACACCCGATAAAGGCTAAACTTTACATAAAATTTAATTTGAATAAGTAATTATCTAATACTTGTTATCTAAAATCTGTTATAAATATTTAGTAGCGATAATGGTCTTAACTGACCACTATAGATGCCTATAACTATTACAAGTTGTCTTATTATGAAGAAGTCGATCAAACTTTACACCTCCATTGCAGTATTCATTGAAAATCTTTACACCACATGTGATGGTATAGGGTTTATTAAATTAGTGCGCATGTATGTAAGCTGCGGAAGGGCTTAGTACACCGGTGAAACGGAAACATTTCTTAAATCGATCTAAGCCTGTCTGACCGTCTGTCTGTCAAATGTCTGTCCATCTATATTTTGTGCACCGTAATATGGTACACAAATGTACTTTCATCGAAGTACATGACCGCTAGTGAAAATGGGGCGGATCCGTCCATTCTTCCAGTCTCTCCCCGTAATAACTCCTTATTTTGAAAACTCGTTACGCAATTTTCAAAATTTCTCGGCAAAAGTAAGTAAGTAATAGTATTTCGGCATTTCAAATTGGTATGAAAATTTTGGATTGGCTGAGGCAAATTTTTGAACTCCCTCTCATATAATCGCTCCTACGAGAACCGAATTGTAGAAAAGTAGAATTTCCAATATTTCATGGTAAAAATTGTCCCATATAAATCTACCTTAGTGAATTTGGACCACATAGGTCTATTTTATGAATACGACCGTATATAAAAATTCTCATGCAACGAAAATCCTTATATATCAAAAAAGCTTAATTGTTTATTTTTTGTGAGGATAAGTTTTTCATAATAGTAGTTAAATAAAAAAAATTAATTGAAATCGGTGAAAGGGCATATAAACGCAGCCTCAAACATACTGTGAGCAACTGTGTTTTTTAAAAAGAATAAAAAATTGTTTTTTTTGCTCATTACTCATAAACTACAGTGGAAAAATATAGTACAAAAATGTAAACGTATATTCTATGAGCGGTGCTGTGGGACCTGTACAAGATCACACCTATCCAATATTATAGTGTATCAAAATTAAATTTTTTTTGCAAGACCTTTATGAGGCACAGAACAAAACTTCAAAATCTATATGAAGTACATAAATTCTTGGCCAATTTCAAATTCGGTATGCTGTTAAGTTAAGCATGTCCGTCTGTCAGTCCGAAGATATCGCCTACAAACTTGCAAGAGGATTTCAAAAGGTCTTAAACTTTTTAAAGAACACGCCTACAATATAAGAAAAACTATGAACGGTCCGGTGCTTCTGGTGCTCTTTGCTCTTTGCTCATTGCTCATTGCTCACACATAAAACACACAGCATGCGCATCTAATAAATTTTCAGTTTTATTTTGAAAATGCAAAAAAAATCTATCACGCCCATTCAATAGTAGAGTGTAGAGTATGTAAATTTAGTTCATTTAATTTTCTTTAGCCGTTTTTTGCGATAACGATGATGGGTGTTAAAGATTCGATCACGATCGTAATATCATTTTCTTACTTGTTGTTAAACTTGTTTCAATATTTACTAAAGTTTTTAAATCATATTAACCTGTGAATGTATGTGTAAATAATTGAATGAATACATTTACAGTAATGTTTACATAAAACTTGTTTACATTTAAAATTTTCATAAGAGTTACATTTATTTTCTATACACATATAAGTGTGTACTTATGTGTATATCTTGTCTATGAATGCACTTAACTATGCAGACTTGCATACACTCTCAATTTATATCGTTTATACAAGAGTTAATATAAGAATCATTATAGTATTAAATTTGTAAATAATAACAGAAGTATTTGTGCATAAAAGAAAAACACAAGCTTTCATAACGACTGTGTGTGTTACTTGTTATAACGGCATAATAATATCTGTGGCAAATACATAAACGTGTAAAACGCATATAGACAACTACTGTGCAAATCTTAACTATTGCAATTGCTCAACCAACAAAGGCAGCATATACACAGCATATTCAAGCAAACTAACTACATACTACATAATATGAACATCAATGATAATAATAGAAAATAATAACAAGATTTTATTATTCTAGGTAATAGGAAGATGTTAGTTAGTTGGTTAGTTAGTTAGTTAGTTAGTTAGTTAGTTAGTTAGTTGGTTAACTTGTTGATTAAATAAGATTTCATTATATATATATATATATATATATATATATATATATGAAATATTTACTTAATATTACAATTAAAATCACTAAAGTATGCATTAATTTAATCATTTTCTTACTCATCAATATCTCATCAAAACACATATGAAATTGAGTGTGAATTAGTTTATCTGCAAGTCTGTGACCAGCTTGTAACATACACGACATAGAAATAAAATCAAAATAATGCCCGCAACGTTCATAATTGGTTAATCCAATTATCGCCGAAGTCAACTTGGAAGAATTTTCAAGGTGCGACAAATCATTGTTTCAATTTAAACGCCCAACCACAAATTGAATACAATTCACGATAGTGAGTCTACGCTTAAACGACCAAAATGTATCTCATATACAAGGCACGGATGAATGGAATAATACGCATAATAGCGCATGTATTTTAAAACTCATAAGTGATCCCTTTTTTTTTCTTGAAGACGAATCAAGCAATGTCTGACAGGAACGATCGTTTATGAAATTGTTCGGGGTAACGAGGCAATTAATTAAGTAATTTGAAGAACAAACATTATTGAATTGACAGCTAATCGCTACGATTTTCATTTATTCCAGAATCTAAACAGAAAACGTTTTCACTTTCTTTCACGTCTTATTATCGATCGAATTCACTCATTGATAAAACTGAGGCGACCAATGTGTAAGAACTTTAAAAAGACATTTGTAAAAAGTAATATTTTTTAAACTCTACTGCGAAAAGTTTTGATCCAATGGCTCATTTTTTGAGTCCACTGCAATATAATCGTTTCTAGAGAGACACAATTTGTAATATTTTTTAATGAAAATTGATTTTCAATAATAATTTCATAAAAATGTAACGTAACTTAACCAAATTTGTCTTGTAGCGAAAAAAAAAAGAAAACTCAATATGAATGTAGCTAAAGGATACAATTATCTATAGCAAGAAAATTCATTTCATTAAATTTGGAACACATAAGTTCACGTTTTAGGGCAAAGGCTTTCTTTCATATAAAGATTCTTGGGTAAAATTATTACTTTATCGAAAATAATGAATGAAGATTACGTGAAGAATTGGATTAGGTGACGCCCTCACGCTCTCACGCTCTCACATTTTTAAGTAAAAAAATATATCTAACATTGTTTGATATTCGCCATCCTCAGGAGATCTCAGGGAAGCGCAAACTTTTGACAGTAGATCCTGGCATTGATATCTCTGACACCGTTACAACGCCTGTCGTCGCCATCATTGTTAATATGAATGCACTTCAAATGCGGCAACCAAAACGAGACACATCTGATCGGAATCTGATATGGAAGATTAGATGAACGCATAGAAACTTATTTATTGTCCTAAGTTACTGAAATGCTCTACGGCCCCCTCTCAACGTAATGGCGATTTTCGTATGCAATTTAAGAACTAATTTAAAAGTAAATTTAAAAATCTCTCTTGAAACTTTTATTTAATCTAAAATTGCGCTCATTAAAAACATTTGTTACGTCATTATATATATGTGCATATATATATATATATATATATATATATGTATAATGCTGCAAACAGCGTTGTTTTAGAAATTTTTACTAGATTTCTCTTCTTTTTTTTGCTGACAGGCAACCAAGCAACCACGCTGTGTTTTATTATATTAATTTTTGTATTATGGCCTGTTGTTAAAAGACCAATTGTACGGTTCTCCACGAAGAGTCCTACTTAACTCTTTGCTTATCCTCGCTATTACTTCTCCTTATTTTATAGAACTAAATTCTGTTATAATTGACATTTGCCACGTTTTGCTAAGCTACGTTCATGAGTTTTTCTCATGGATGTATATATATATATATATATATATATATATATGTGTAAGGCCTCAAAAAATGTTAAGCAAGTGCAAAATGTTTGCGCAAAACCTTAAGGCTAGTAAAAGAAATTTGTTTTATTATTATCATTATTATTATTATTATTATTATTTTTTTTTTTTCACTAGAAGACAAAAGTAGA